CCAGGGCACAGGCATTGCTGCCCACCACGAGGCATCCACGGCAGACAGCAGTAAGTGGTCGCCACGTCTTTTGCTGCCCTGGGATGCGGCCTTGGAATTGAACTCAGTACAGCCCATTGGGGAGCCATTATCAGTCACTCATTCTCAGGAGGAAAACCCCGTGTTTCCCTTCGAATGGAGAGAGCTGAGCCGGAACTCCTTGGTCTGGCCCTTTGCTGCCCTTTCCCACGTTCATTTCCCATCACTGCTTCTGTGCTCCAGCTTCCTTCAATTGCCCACCACTCCCAAGTGGCCCTACCTTTCTCCCACTCCCAGAGCCTGTGTCCGTGCGGGTACCTCAGCCTGGAAGACCCTCTGTGCAGACGGTTCCTTGGCCTCTGCCCTCCCACTTTGCACAGTAATAAAGTTGCCTCTGGGCATATGGCCACCCAGCAAAGAACACTGCCTGGCCGCCCTTGGACCTGGGAGGTAACCATGTGACTAAGTGCTGGCCAATGAGATATGAGCAGAAGTGATGCACGTCAGGTTGTTTTTCTTCAAGTTTTGCTCTTAAGGGTTTGGGCAAGTGCTCTCCTGGGCCCCTTCTTTTTTCCTGCCGGCCAGGGGACGGCGCGAGTGAAGCCGCTGCCAGGAGCCCAGAGATGGAAGCCCCCTGATGATGACGGCACAGCCACCCTCCCATCCCTGGACCACCGTCTGCAGCCTGCTAAGGCTGCCTGTCTCCCTTATTGGAATCCCTGTATTTGGGGTCTACTGTTATGGTGACAACTGTGTCCATACCCTAACCCGCTTCCTTGTTCCTGGCCACCAGCCTCCAGTGCCACCTCCTCAGTGAAGTTTTCCCAGAGTCACAAGCTCCACTAGAATCCCTGGCACTTCATGCGTGCGTACCTCGCATTAGCCCACCCCTCACGTTAGCACACCCTCAGCCGGGGGTGGCCGGGGCCTCCCCCACTGGCCTGGCTGAAGGCCACTTCTCATCCATCCTCTACAGCAGAGCTGGTGAGGGTACTAACGCACAGACCGCACCCCCTTACCCCTCACCCCACAACTACAGTCCAACCCCTTGGCCTGGTGGTCACTGTGTGACTCTGACCTGCTCTTCCCCTTGGTGGTGAGGCCCAGAGCGCGGAGTGATCTGCTCCAGCAGCTCAGTTGGTCCCGGCTCACTCCGCGTGCGCAACCATGTATCATCCCTGCCAGACCCGCCCAGCCCCGGCGTGGCGGGCCTCAAGGAGCTGTTTCCTTGCTGACTGGAGCCTATATTGTCCTGCTCCGCATTTGTTAGTAAGGACAGGGAAAGAGAATGGGAGGGTTTCCCTGATGTTTGTGTTTCACAAGTGGCCTAGGAAGTCCCACGGTCTGTATATCTGTTCCCAGTGCCCTTCGCCTGTCCCACCAGGCCATACGCTTTACAAACTGCCCACACCTATTCCTCTGAACTTCTGGCCGCCGTGACCTTCCTAACTTGGCCCGACCCCTGGCAGCCCGTCCCCGGCCGGCAGGCCCATCACTCCCCTGGTGAACAGGGCATGCAGCTCAGAAGCAGGATACAGCCCGATTTTAGCCAGCACATGGCTATTTTGGGACAGGGAGGATCCTGGGAGGATGCTGGCAAGGTCAGAGTAGGAAGGGAAGGAGGTGGGTTTTCTGCCCACGATTATGTGTCCCAAGCCCTTTGGATGCTGCCCAGGGCCCGAGGCTGCCACAAGGAAGAACACACCCACCGCAGGACTCCCACCTCGGCCCAGCAGCCTCAGAGGCAAACTGGGGGCAGGCATGGGTTTGGGTCTCTAGGCTCCAATCTCAGTGGCCACTGTGGGCAGGAAGAGTGTGTGTTTATTTGTTGTGTCCCAACAGCTGTGACTTCAGTATTCGGCAAGACTCAGAGCAGTCATGAAGTGGGGGGCGGGGGGAGCATCAGAAACCAGCCAGAGTGAAGAAAAAGAACGCAAGAAAGAATCCAATCACTCAGGAATGATTCTTGATGATCAGTTTTGGAACATTCCCTGAGCATCTACTGTATAGGGGGCCCAGTATGAGATGCTGGCAAGGCCAAAGGGAATAATGTTTTGACTCTGTATAGGGCACTTTATAATTGTCGAGATCCATCTGTACGTATCAGGGACTTCATAAATTTTGATCCTGAGGAAATACTCGAAAATGCACTATTTAGGTGTAAGAGTGAGAGTGGTGTTTTACCCATGAATGTGGAGATTTGTAAACATTTCAGGATGTCAGAACTCCACTCTGCCTGTTTGGAGAAGGTCATCCAGCAATGTGAAGTGCTCGGCACTGTGCTTAGCACATAGTAGGTGCTCAGTTAGGGCCAGCGGCAATAACTGCTATTATTCATAACAGGGGGGCAGCCACATGGCCCACAGGCTTTAGTGTGAAGGCAGTAACTTTTCTGCAGGGTGAGAAGCCTCAGGTCGGGCAGAGGGGGCAGGGCCAGGGACAAGGCAGGACCCAGCCCATCCCAGCAGATGCATTTACTCCACGGTTCTATTGTCTGAGACACCTCTGTGCCGCCCTCTCAGTCCTTCTCTGCTGACTTTGGAAAGCTGGGAAAGCATCTTGGTCTCCTTCCTACTTGGCTCCAGTTTGGGGTCTTCTGTTTAAATTCTCTTGGTGTTAACTATCTGGCTCTGATTCGTACTTCAGGCCAGACTGCCCTCTGGGGAATTCTCTAACACCCTGGACACCCCTTTCAGATGCCCCTGCTCTCCCTCCTCCCATCTCCTGGCCAAGCCAGTCCCTGCTGGCAGCCCCTCCCACCAAGGACCTGCATCACGCCCTTCCTGCTCCTTGCTGTGTCCCTTCACTCCAATGTGTCCCTTTTCCCCACCACCTCTGAGCTGCTCATGGCTTTCTCCTCCCCATCCCAGAGCCCCTGGTCCCACACAGACTCCCGGAGGGGGGTGAGGAGAGATGAAGCCTTCTTCCAAGTCCTTCCGCCCTCCTGCCACATCCTCCCCTGCTGCCAGCCCCCCAGGACCTCCAGACCCAGACTCTCCCAAGCACAGAATCGCTACCTATTGGTTAGGCACACACTCTGATGGCAGGTGGGACACGTGCAGCCCAATCAGGTATGGAAGAGAGAAGGGTAACCCTCTGTCTTGCCACAGCATTTGTCTGTTGTCCCCAGCATTAGGACATGGTGCTTGGTAAGGATTTCTGAACATCTTGAAAGTGTAAGAAGAATTGAGGGGAAAAGATTAATTGTGCTTACTAAATCAGGAAAGATGCTAAGTACTTCCCAAAATTATCTCACGGAACTGTCGCCATATACCTGCAAGACAGGTGTTAGCCCCATGTTTCACATGAGGCAGCTGAGGCAGAGAGAGGTTGTATAATTCTCTGAAGGTCACATAGCTGGTAAACGTCAGAGCTGAAATTCAAACCCTTGTCTTCCATGGCTCCAAATCTCCTGCCCTCCACACCAGCACTCTCCTCTTTGAGCAAAAAACCCAGCTGCCATTGACCAGAGTTATGGAGACAACAGACGCGATTATTTGAAATGCGGGCTGCCCTAGAAACCCCAATATCACCTGCAGTCGCTCTTCCCAGGCCCTGTCACCCCACCCTTGCCTTCATCTCATCTCATTAATCTTGGCATTCTTCTCCCAAAAGCTTTGCCCGGTCCCAGGGCTCAAGCTCCTGGGCCCTGAGGGAGGGAGGGAGCTTCCCAGGGCTTCCAGACACCTTTTAATTAACCCAGACGACCCTCTTATGACTGGGGCCAGCTGAATCCCATCTCGATGTCACCATCTCCCATGGCAGCCCCCCTGAACTGTGACTCCCACCTCAGTCCACTCATGCTCCAGCAAATGCCGTCCCTCCATTTCCCATATGCTCAACATCTGTTGGCCTCTTCCCTGGCTTGGGCACCATGGGTGAGGGCTACTGGGGCTCTGAGGCTCCTGGGTCCATGGAGGGCCTGCCAGAGAGTCCACTGAGTGTCCTGCCAATGCCACCTGCCCACAGCAGGTATCGAGGAGCCCCACTCTGAGCTGGAAGAGGTCCAGGGCAGGGAAAAATCCTCTGCGATGACTTGATTATTTTCTGCCCCAGCCCTTTTTTGAGCTTCCTTCTTTGTCCCCGAAAACTGACAGCCCATTCCAGCTACCATGGGGACAATGAAACTTGTTCATCTGTCATTCTCATGGATTAATCATAATGGTCAGCAACCTAGAAAAGTCCAGAGGAACTAACATCATTATTAACTGTGGACAATGAAACTGAACCCGACACGCAGCATGATGCCTAGCACAGAGCAGGTAGTCGGTACACAGCTGTGACCAGATGAGCAGACCCAGTGAGGAACAGGTTGTGCGGTACAGGGGAAAGAGCACTAGAAGAGATGCTCTTGCAGGGAACCCTCCCACACAAGGCTAGTTAATGGCAGAGGCAGAATCTGAATCCAGATTGTGCTGGTTAACTTTGTCACGCCACATCACCTTTCCACCTTGAGCTTGCATGCAAGGGGCAGCTGCGCACATAGTCTAGGTACCACAAAGCACAAAGCACCCTCAGCCACCTAGCAAGGGCAGGGAAGTTTCACAGTCATGGGATAATTCACTCGTTTTGGTAACAAACACCTTTGTATACCTCCTCTGCATCAGAAGCTGGAGGCACAAGAGTGACCGTGATGAGCCTAGTCCCTGCCCTCTTGGGCTTATCTTCTCTTCAATGTTGCGTAACACTTCAGAGTTTGCAAAACATAGCCACACTGATTATCTTGTCTATCTTCACAACCTGGTGCACATAGTGGAGACCCATAGAAAAGTTTATGAATGAATGAATGCTTGAATGAATCAATGATGGAGAGGGGACAGCTTGGCCAATCAATGAATAGATGAAAGGTAACATCACAGATACCGTCGTTCCCATCTTTCAAATAAAAAGTGACGCCCTGAGCAGGGTGTGCCCAGAGCACAACCATTGAGAGGCCTCTGGTTGGTGTCCCATCCTAGTCATCCATTCACAGGGCTCCTTACCTGGTGGGCAATGACACCCTGGAGACGTCTTCGGGGCCTCCCGGCGCCTCCGAGAGTGGAGCTTCCATTTCTGCACAAGGAGACAAAGGAGAGGGGTCACTGAGAGTCCTAACGGCCAAGCCCTGGAAATCATCTGTGGGTTGGTGGCAGTGGGAGGTAGGGGAGAGGGGCTGCTTGAGGGCTGGCAGGCAGACTGTTCCTGGATCAAAGACTGGCCACCGGATGTCTCGGTAATAGGAAGCAGACAGAGAGGTCCCATCTAGGTAATCTCAGCGTCTAATGTCTTGAGACAGCTCTTAAAGAAATTAACCCCAATCCCAGGGCCCTTTAAGCCAGTTGTGACCTTCCTGCACTGCACACTCCTGGGCACAACAACCTGCTTTCCTCGGCTCTGCTATTTGTTTCCTGACCAGGTCTGGTCTCCTGTTGTATCTTGGGGCAGGGAAAGTGACTTCTGTTCTTCTGGTGTCCCTCTCGGAGCCAGGTCTGAGTGGGGATGGAGTGGCGGGGAGGGGCTGGGCAGGTCCTCTGCCCCTCCTTCACACATGTTCCTCAGCAGCTTGCAAATCACTGAGCCAATCCAGAAGACCCCAAAGAGGTGGTAACAAGTAGACTCGGACACCTCCTGCCCTCAAGGAGCTGCCATTTCCATGGTGGTAAATGGACAGGCGTACGGAGAAGCACCAGTGCCTGCAGTGCCTACTCCTGCCGCGCGGTGCTCCCGGTGCCTCGCTCCTCAGAGCCGCCCAGGGGAGCGGGCCACACGCACACAGAGGCTAACAGGCCCGCCTCTGGGGCCGGACTGCCCTGGTTCGTACACAGGTCTCAGACTCTGAGCTGTTAACAATCCCTGCCTCAGTGAGTTCCTGAGAGGACAGAAAAGGCGGATGCACAGAAAGAAAAGGCGCTCAATACGTGGTAGCTCTTGTTGCACTCATGGCACAGGTGAGGACCCTGAAGCACAGACAGGAAGCTATAACCTGGCCAAGGTCAGGGTGGAGGAAGGCTGGGATTTAAACCCACACTCCCTGAAGCTAGCGCAGCAGTGAGAAGCTGGGAGCCCCCAGGCTGAACTGGCCCTTAGATGCACTTTAATTGGTTTCCACAGTAACCTTTTTTCATTGAATCTGTTGCCGATATTTAGAAGAGGCTGATTTCACATGCACATCTGCATTTCTAATCTTTTGAAAAACTGGAAGATCTGGCTGCATGGGGCCTGTACTATGGGTGGCCCTGATTGGCAATGTCCGGTAACCTCTGACACGGAGACCAGTTAGGATGCCAGCTGTCCCGCATCAGCATTTCTCCAGCATCTCACCGCTGCGTAGTTCTGCCACTCTGGGTGAGCCGTGAGAGAGGTGAAAACAAGTCGCGTGGGAGGTGTGGTAGGATGTGGTGCCCCCTCTGGTTTGGTGGTGAGAGGGAAGGCAGGAAAGCTTCGTGATGAGGCACGTCAGGCTAATGTCTGCTGAGCCCCGGTCTGTGCTGGCCCTGAGCTGGAGTCTTTAATACAGAGAATCACATCTATTTTTCACAACCTAACTCCAAGGTAAATTTAATAGTGGTGGGTCTGGGACAAGAACTCAGGCTGTTTGATGTGAAGTCCACTCCACCCTGCTGGAGGGAGGGGTGTACACACGCCACTGGGAGAAGGGGCACAGTGACAGGCAGGGTGAGGGTTCTGAGGGCAGAATGGGGGCGGAGGGTCAAAGCAGGCAGGAAGGGGAGGGAGGGAGGAATGTCCCAAAGGGGAGCCCCTCACTCAGAAAGGGAGACTGGTACACAAATGTCGTGGATGTTGAGGCTCCGCCAGAGGTGGGCACAGAATGGCCACTGAGCAAGCCAGCGACCTCCCAGGACAAAGTCCGGCGATGCCCAGCTTCGAGCCCCACCTACCAAAGCTGCTTTCCACCAAGGACTGTACCTATTTACTTCCCTTCCCGCCAATAACCTTGGGCTCCTAAGGGACTTATTTGTGGCTGTTCCTGGCACACAGCAGGTGTGGGACAGAAGTTTGCTAAGTGACAAAGCCAGTCAGTGACTGACAGGCCAGGGCCAGCTGAGTTTGCAGCGTTCTGGCTACAGGCTGCAGCCAGTAGGGTTGTCACTCACTCAACAACAGAGAGATGCCAAGGACAGGTTGGGCCCTGGTGACGAAGACTGGGACTGGAGGCTGGAGGCTGGGGCTCCTCTCTGGAGGCTGTCAGAGTCATCAAGCCAGCCGAGAGACACCGGTAGCCTGCATTACGGCAGCAGGAGGGAGAGGAGGCAAGGGGAAGGATACGCAGGAGGACGAAAGGACGGGCACAGGATGGGCTTGATCGGGGGAGAGGGTAGAGTTCAGGCTCTGCCATGGGCAGCCAAGATGCCCCATGGGGACAAGACAGGGGCAAAAGCAGACTTGTGGGAAGATGATAAGTATGTCAGGGGACAACTGAGTCTGAGGGTTGTCCTTGCGGAGGAGTCCAGGTGGGCAGGGCCATGTGTGGTTCTGGAGCTCAGGAGAGAGGCCTGGGATAGAAAGGTGGATCTGGGAGCTAGGGGCACCTATCGAGAGGGGAAAGGGACAGCTGACAGAGAGATGGGAACCTGGCTTAATTCAGGGTGTGTGTGTGTTTTCTTGGCATGCCCCGTGTTTATTTTTGAAAAGTATTAAATCCCAACGTCACCACACCCATTCCAGAGTCTGACCCTCTTCTGCAGTTCATTCCTTCCAACACTTCAACTCCAGGGCTCCTTCCAGGCTGCAGGACCTGCTGTCTGCAGGTGGGTCTACCTTTTCACGGTCCCTTCCCTCCGTGTCTTATGTTCCTCCTTGCCCAGCCCAAATTCTGTGGTCAGTGATTATAATCACTCTCCTGGCTGCAACCTGGGCTGCCACGATACTTTCCCTTCAGCACATTCTCCTGGCTAAGCCACAAACCCAGCAGACTGAACATTTCTACTTACCCCACACCAGCACCCACGTAGCAGAATGAAGCTGGAGAGAGCACATGGCCTTGCTGACTTGCCTTTACTTTTTTTTTTTTTAAAGATTTTATTATTTACTTTTAGAGAGAGGGGAAGAGAGGGAGAAAGAGAGGGAAAGAAACATCAATGTGAGAGAGAAACACTGCTCGGTTGCCTCTCCAACAGGGCACCTGGCCTGCGACCCAGGCACGTGCCCTGACCAGGAATTGAACCCAGCTACCTTTCAGTTCACAAGCTGGCGCCCAACCCACTGAGCCATACCAGCCAGGACTGGCTTCACTTTAATATGTGATCATTATCTCAGATGAAAGCCCAGCAAGCGCGTAGTGATTCCCTCGTTTCTTCCTCCTCCTGTCCTAGTAGTTCTCACACCTTCTCTCCCCAACCCCAACACGCTGTCTCCAACATCACTGTCACCTGATGGCCTTGAGAGAACAGAAGCAGGCAGAAGAGGCCTTCCAGAAGCTCCCGCCACTGTGCACGCCCGCCCATCTGTGCCTGTGCTGCACATTCTCCCTTCTCTCCTCTCGCATGCCGGTCTGGGTTCCCAGAGAAGGTCCACCCTCTACCTGCTTGCCAGGTGCTCCCCTCCTGCCTGCTCGAGGGCATCTCAGCAGCAAGTCTCCCTCCCACCTGCATCATCCACTTCCTCCTTTGGACTGGGTCACTTATACCAGTTGTCAGCCAATTTTTTCTGCAAAGGGCCAGCTCGTAAATATTTCAGGCCCCGTGAGCCATACGATCTCTGTCATAACCACTCGACTCTACTACGTAGGCGGAGAGCAGCTATAGACAGCTCGAAAACATAAGCGTGGTTGTGTTCCCACAGAAAATGTAGTTATGAAAACAGGCTTCAAGGGGGGCTGAGCTGTCCTTTGCCCACTCTGGATGTAAATCATTATGCAAGCATACTGTTGTTCCTTACATTAAAAAAAGAAAAACAGAAGAAGAAAAAAGAAAAGAAAGAGGAAAATCCTCTCTTGACCAAGCAAATGTTTGTGTGTTTTTGTGAGAAATGTAATTGGTAAAAGTGGTGGTCTTTTTTAAAAGCAGTAGTGATTGGGTTTTTTTTGTTTGTTGGTTATTTGTTTGGTTGGTTGGTTGGTTTTTGTTTCTGCTATTTCATTCCATTTTCAACTAAAACTACTCTTGTAATAGTTTGTTATGGAAAATTGTCACAGTATTTTAAGAGAAAGGGGGGGAGATATGTAAATTGCTAAAAAATTAAATAAAAATACTGGATGTAGGAAAAAAACTCCCTGAGGCAGGGCTGTCTTCCTGCTCTCTCCTGGACCACTCCTATCAGGTCTTACCTTCCCTCCCCCAAAGAGGTTCTCCTGGTAGTCACTGATGACCTCCATGTGGCCAAGAATGACCTTGGTGTAGCTAAGCCCAGGGGGTGGGTCCTCAGCCCATCAGAGTGTTTGGTCACTCCGCCTTTGACACACTTTCCTCCCTTGCTCCCAGGATGCCGCTCTCCAGCCTTGCCTTCTACAACTCTGTACTCCTTCTAAGTGTCCTTTGCTGGTTCCTTCTTACCTACTTGACTCCACGATGTTGGAGACCCATAGGGCCCAGTCTCACCTCTTTTCCGTCCGTACTTGCTCCTTGAGGCTCTCACTCGTCTTACGGCTTCAACGCCATATATACGTGGTGATACCCTGCTCTTTGCACCTCTAACCCCGACCTTCCTCAGGAACTCCCAGATGTATTTACACAGCTGCCCGCCTGACTTCTCCACTGACAGGCATCCCACAATTAGCCGGACAAAACTGAGCTCCTCATATTCTGTCCCCTCTCCCCAGGCCTGCCCCTCCCTCACACAGGTAATGGCAACTGCATCCTGCTAGGTGTTCAAAACCTTGACTTCATCGGCGATGCCTCTTTCTCTCTCACTTCATACCCATTCAGTCAGCAACACCTGTTCTCTACCTTCCAGACAAATCCAGCCTCGGACCCCACTCCCACGGCCACCCCTGGCCAAACCTCATCATCTTTGGCCTGATGGCTGTGATACCTTTCGAATGAATCCCCTGCCTCTGCCCTCAGCCCACAGGCTCTTCAGTGTGGCTGTCAAGGCGACCTCACAGGTCCCCTTGA